CAGACAGACAGACAGACAGATACACGCACCCTTCACCCGAAATCCGAACCTTAGTCCCTAAACACACACACCACCATCCATTACCATCAAACTCCAAACTCAAAATCCGAACCTTTGAAGCCGACATCCGAAGAAGAAGAAGAAGCGCATACACAGCAGCTGAAAAAGCTGATAAACCCTAAGGGTCCTTCAGCCACCTCAAGGAAATAAGAAAAATAGGGTTCTGGGGTTCGCTCTCTTAAAACCCTACACCCCGAACCAGTAGTAGAATTTTATGATAAACCAGTGTGGGGTTTAGGGTTTAGGGTTTAGGGGAGCCTTGAGCTGATAGTTGTACAAGCACCGGCCTCTACCCCTAAACCTCGAAACGCCCGGCAAGATCGAACAACCTGACAAGTCCTGAAGCAATCACCCAAAATGTAGCTCACTTTGCGATGGCTGCTATAAGGAGTTGATCACAAGGTTTTGGATTGTAGATCCTTCAGTATGCACGGTGTAGAGCTTAGACTTTAGGTTTAGGGTGCAGGGATCCCTGAACAAAAACCTTTCTATCACATCCATGCACAGCCCTTCTCAAACCGGTACAGTTCCAAAGCCCCTCACAAACTCCCAACACATATGAGCATAACCCTAAACCCTCAAACCAAGTTCTTCAACCACAGCACCCCTCTGCGAAGACAACACAAGGCAAGTCGCCGAGAGGTCGGCAGTGGCCACGGGCACTCGGGCAGAAAGCCGCCGACTCTCCTGGCACCGGCAATTCTAAGCGTCACTATTTCTCGGCTTCGTAAGAGTGCGTTGGTTTTGTGGGTTTCTGTTTTCGGCCAGAAAATTATGCGGGTCGACAGGGTTTATGGTTTTTAGGGGACTATAGGTCTGTGGTTTACATGAGTGTTGGGGTCGGAGCGAGATTCTTTCACGTTTAGGCTGTAGAGTACATATGGTCTCGGTCTCGGAGCCCCAGTTGTTCCAACATCCCATTGATTTAGGACTATCCCTAAACCCCAAAACCCTGAACCCTAAAGTACATCCACCCTAAAACCCTAAAACCTAAACCCTAAAACCCTAAACCCTAAAGTACATCCCGGAGCCTTCCACTATAGTAGGATCCCTAGTCTTGAATTAATTTAGGGTTTAGGGTTTAGGACGGGTCTAGTACTGAAGTAAGGGATTTGGAAAGAGCTGGGGCGTCAATTCGGCTGCCCAATAAGAAAGTCTCGGACCAGAATACATTAGCCTAAGGGTCCATGTAGCCCAAATAGTACATACTTTGGCCCCGAAGTACCCATATAGGGCTTACTTTGAGGCTAAGGCATATACTGTTTGAGTACATGGGCCCTTTAGGGATTAGCTTTTGGGGGTACGTGTTACATTAACCGCGTTTGAAGGTATACTAGATATCTAGGGACGATGCTGGGACATTATCTACGAATCATGCACACCCCAACGGCTTCGGTTTGCCTCTGACTGTGATCTGTGCCTTGGCTGCCCTCCTCTTTGTTTGGGCCTCTTCGACAACTCGACAAACAGTTGATTGATCACCGAACAGAAACTTTTCTCAACAATGGATTTTGGCAACCCTAAACTCTAAACCCCTAAACCCGAATCAACAAGATGAAATTTCATTAACTCAAATCGTAGCGAAGCAAGAGCGAAACCTAAGGCCACGACTGCAAACAATCCTGAGCTCTACGCCTAGCCTAAGGTTTGCGGTCCAAACGACCCATGCAACAATTCGGAGCTTGGGGCTATGATGGTGCTTTTTGTCGGGCATGTGGACCCTTGGGGATAAACTCTGGTGCTTGTAAATCCCAAACCCTACGCTGTGAACCCGAAAAGACCTTATAGCAAAACCCTAAACCCTAAACCCCCTGAGCCCTAAACCCCTAAAGCCCTAAAGCCCTCAACCCCTAAACCCCGAAACCCTAAACCCTAAACCCTAAGCCCCTAAACCCTAAACCGCCCTAAACTCTCAACTCTGAGGCTTCTAAAGCCCTTACATCCCAGCAGTCCTGAACCCAACACCCAGAGCCTTACATTTCCGCTAAGGGTCCATGTGCCCAAAGAGTATATACTTGAGCCTCAACGTGACTCCTATATATGCACTTCGGGGCCGAAGTAGATACTATTTGGGTTTTGGGGAGCTCAAGGTTTCGGGTTTTGGGGAGCTCAAGGTTTCCTAAACACAAGCCACATCCTAAGTCCTAAAGCGCCATAAGCTAAGCCCAATCCGAAAATTCGCCATCTTCAGGATGTAGGGTTTAGGGTTTAGGGTTTAGGGTTTAGGGTTTGGGGTTTAGGGTTTAGGGTTCGGGGTTTAGGGTTCAGGGTTTAGGGTGTAGGCTTCGGGGTTCAAGGTTTAGGCTTTAGGGTTTAGGGTTCGGGGTTTAGGGTTCAGGGCTTAGGGTTCGGGGTTTAGGGTTCAGGGTTTAGTGCAAACCCGTCTAAGCACTCAGAAGCCCAGCAGTACAGGAACCCTGACCCCTAAACCCTAAACCCTGACCCTGAACCCTGATCCCTAAAATCCTGAACCAACCAAACAACCTTACCCTAAACCCTAAACCCTAAACCCTAAACCCTAAACCCTAATCCCTGTAAAGCCCTAAACCAACCAAGCTTAAACGACTCGCCTCGTCTGCTTTGCGCTCCAGTGATTTCACCGCTGCGCGGTGAGGAGCAAAGGAGCGATCGGGAGGATCCTTCTGATCATTTTTAGGGAATTAAGGGTTTGGGTTTAGGGTTTAGGGTTTGGAGCTTGGAGGCTTGGTTTTTTTTGGGGGTTGGGGTTTGGGGAAAAGAGGTATGCGGTGGGTAGAACGCTTACATGTAACTTTTTTGGCTTAGATGTGACTTTCCAGATTTTTCAATTAAATGTCTTAGTTGTAACTTTTTTCCTCTTAAAAAAACACAGAATCTCTGCAGAGGGATGCAAACCACGCAGCTTAGTTATGACTGTTTTTTGCTCTATTTCGGAGCAAAAAAGTTTTCCTCATCAGGGTTCTAAGGGTGCCGTACTATATTGGGGAGCTAGACAGGGACCCTAATTTAGAGAACTACCCATCTGTTTGGACAAGCTTGTCAATTCCGGGGTGTTTCCAAGCTGCTTGCAACTCGTCCAGTAGACCTTGTCAACCTCGAGAGCACCTGCAGAATCTGCAATACCTAGACGAAACTCTATGGGTTCCAACACTTATAGTCATCACCCTAAACCCTAAACCCTCATCATATACTCTCCAAAATACTGACAAACCTGCTTCGCCCACCGACCCCATGTCTTCACCGTGCCATCCGAGAGGATGATAGCACCGGCAGCTTCATTGACTTGCTCAGCTAACCTAACCGACTTAAGGATGGGTTTAGGGATTAGGGTTTAGGGCTCTATACAACACCAGTTCCAAGCATGCCGCAGATGTTAAACGGACTGTTGAATGCGCCGGCGGATTCGCAGCAAGTGGTCTGAGGCACACCGTAGACCCGCTGTTGCAAGCTATCTCTGTTGAACTTAGACGAGCGCTTCAGGCCGATTGTTGTACCCTGCACCTCCAACTGCGAGCGCCCCGAAGGGCCATGCCACCAATACCATAGGTTTGGAATGTGGCCTGGGACGGCATTAGACGAGCCTTCAAAAGAAGGGCTCCAGACATGGACAACGGCCTTGAATCGACTTCAGCACCTTGGTGTTTCCGTGCCGGCGAGCTCGAGCGTCTGCGGGATTTGGGTGGGCGAGGGTGACGTCACCCTCACTCGCAAGTTCTGCGTCATGCCGGACCACGGGCAGGCGTCATCGCATACGCCGGGATACCCCATGATTGCCCCAAATGTTTTTGCCCTTCAGCTGCATCCTGGAACCTCAGGAACCTGCACAACTACGATCCTAAACCTTTAAAGGTGATAGCTAGGTATTGAATCCTAAACCCTGACGACACAAGGGGCGGCCGATCGCATTACGGGTCGTGGTGTAAGGATGTGGGGTTAGGTGGGTGTCGACAATGCCGGCTTGATGTTTCTGAAGAGTATTCCTATATTGCGATGCATTGCAGCTGTGTTGCCCACAAAATGTAACCCGTATCTACCGTGATGCGGACAAACCGATGATTCTTCGGGTCGAACCCCGCTCCCTAAATCAAAAAAGTTGGGATCAGATTCTTTTATGTTGAAGATCGCTTTGCTCCCCAAAGCTCTCCAAGGTTGGTCTCAAGGATTAGGGCGAAGGGTCTCCCAGCTGTGGAGTGTGAAGGCTCTACTCTATAACAGTATACCCTATGCAACTAAACAGTGCCGAAACACGAAGCCTTAAACACTCAACCCTACGCCTTAAACCACAAACCTCGGACCCACCCTAAACCCTAAACCCTATACCCTAAACCGTGGGATCCAGGGCCTCATTGAACTGCGGTGGAAAGCGGGCTGCCACCTGCCAGAAGGAGCAGGCTTCCGGCAGACTGGCCTTGAGGCTTAGGGTAGGGTTTCGGGTTTAGGGTTTCGGGTTTCGGGTTTCGTTTAGGGTTTGGGGTTTAGGGTTTAGGGTTTCGGGTTTCGGGTTTCGGATTTAGGGTTTAGTGTTTAGGCGAGGGTTTATGGTTTAGGGTTTCGGGTTTCGGATTTAGGGTTTAGGCGAGGGTTTAGGGTTTAGGATTTCGGGTTTCGGGTTTAGGAT